GTGAAACCAATGTGAAGCCCATCTAACCTAAACTATTCCATTATCATCCATATGTTTATCCAATGACCATTTAAATGCCCTTAAAGTGGGCGAGTCTATTACTGTTGCAGGCAGGGCATTCCACGCCCTTACTACTCTCTGAGTAAAGAACCTACCTCTGACGTCTGTCCTATATCTATCACCCTTCAATTTAAAGCTATGTCCCCTCGTGCTAGCCATCACCATCCGAGGAAAATGGCTCTCACTGTCCACCCTATCTAATCCTCTGATCATCTTGCATGTCTCTATTAAGTCACCTCTTAACCTTCTTCTCTCTAACGAAAACAGCCTCAAGACCCTCAGCCTTTCCTCATAAGACCTTCCTCCATACCAGGCAACATCCTGGTAAATCTCCTCTGCACCCTTTCCAATGCTTCCACATCCGTCCTATAATGCGGTGACCAGAACTGTACGCAATACTCCAATTGCGGCTGCGCCAGAGTTTTGTACAGCTGCAACATGTCCTCATGGCTCCGAAACTCAGTCCCTCTACCAATAAAACCTAACACACCGTACGCCTTCGTAACAACCCTATCAACCTGGGTGGCAACTTTCAGGGATCGATGCACATGGACACCAAGATCTCTCTGCTCATCCACACTACCAAGGATCTTACCATTAGCCCAGTACTCTGTATTCCTGTTACTCCTTCGAAAGTGAATCACCTCACACTTTTCCGCATTAAGCTCCATTTGCCACCTCTCAGCCCAGCTCTGCAGTTTGTCTATAGCCCTCTGTAACCTGCAACATCCTTCCGCACTACCCACAACTCCACCGACTTCAGTGTCATCCGCAAATTTACTAACCCATCCTTCTACGCCCTCATCCAGGTTATTTATAAAAATGACAAACAGCAGTGGCCCCAAAACAGATCCTTGAGGTACACCACTAGTAACTGAACTCCAGGATGAACATTTCCCATCAACCACCACCCCCTGTCTTCTTACAGCTAGCCAATTTCTGATCCAAACCGCTAAATCACCCTCAATCCCATGCCTCCATATTTTCTGCAATAGCCTACCATGGGGAACCTTATCAAACGCTTTGCTGAAATCCATATACACCACACCAACCGCTTTACCCTCATCCACCAGTTTGGTCACCTTCTCAAAGAACTCAATAAGGTTTGTGAGGCACGACCTACCCTTCACAAAACCGTGTTGACTATCCCTAATCAAATTATTCCTTTCTAGATGATTATAAATCCTATCTCTTATAATCCTTTCCAACACTTTACCCACAACTGAAGTAAGGCTCACTGGTCTATAATTACCAGGGTTGTCTCTACTCCCTTTCTTGAACAAGGGGATAACATTTGCTATCCTCCAGTCTTCTGGCACTATTCCTGTAGACAATGACGACATAAAGATCAAAGCCAAAGGCTCTGCAATCTCCTCCCTAGCTTCCCAGAGAATCCTAGGATAAATCCCATCTGGCCCAGGGGACTTATCTATTTTCACACCTTCCAGAATTGCTAACACCTCCTCCTTATGAACCTCAATCCCGTCTAGTCTAATAGCCTGTATCTCAGTATTCTCCTTGACAACATAGTATTCACACAGGAAAAAGACAGACGAAAAATATTCATTTAGCGCCTCTCCTATCTCTTCGGACTCCATGCACAACTTCCCACTACTGTCCTTGACTGGCCCTAATCTTACTCTAGTCATTCTTTTATTCCTGACATACCTATAGAAAGTTTTAGGGTCTTCCTTGATCCTACCTGCTAAAGACTTCTCATGTCCCCTCCTGGCTCTTCTTAGCTCTCTCTTTAGGTCCTTCCTGGCTAACTTGTAACTCTCAAGCGCCCTAACTGAGCCTTCACGCCTCATCTTTACATAAGCCTCCTTCTTCCTCTTGACAAGAGATTCAACTTCTTTCGTAAACCATGGTTCCCTTGCTCGACCACTTCCTCCCTACCTGACAGGTACATACTTATCAAGGACATGCAGTAGCTGTTCCTTGAACGAGCTCCACATTTCAATTGTGCCCAGCCCCTGCAGTTTCCTTCTCCATCCTATGCATCGTAAATCTTGCCTAATCGCCTCATAATTGCCTTTCCCCAGCTATAACTCTTGCCCTGCGGTATATACCTATCCCTTTCCATCGCTAAAGTAAACGTAACTGAATTGTGGTCACTATCACCAAAGTGCTCACCTACCTCCAAATCTAACACCTGGCCTGGTTCATTACCCAGTACCAAATCCAACGTGGCCTCGCCTCTTGTTGGCCTATCCACATTCTGTGTCAGGAAACCCTCCTGCACACATTGGACAAAAACTGACCCATCTAAAGTACTCGAACTAGAGCGTTTCCAGTCAATATTTGGAAAGTTAAAGCCCCCCATAACAACTACCCTGTTACTTTCGCTCCTATCCAGAATCATCTTTGCAATCCTTTCCTTTACATCTCTGGAACTTTTTGGAGGCCTATAGAAAACTCTCAACAGGGTGACCTCTCCTTTCCTGTTTCTAACTCAGCCCATACTACCTCAATAGACGAGTCCTCATCAAATGTCCTTTCTGCCACCGTAATACTGTCCTTGACTAACAATGCCACACCTCCCCCTCTTTTACCACCTTCCCTGATCTTACTGAAACAGCTAAACGCCGGAACCTGCAACAACCATTCCTGTCCCTGCTCTATCCATGTCTCCGAAATGGCCACAACATCGAAGTCCCAGGTACCAACCCATGCTGCAAGTTCACCCACCTTATTCCGGATGCCCCTGGCGTTGAAGTAGACACACTTCAAACCACCTTCCTGCCTGCCAGTACACTCCTGCGACCTTGAAACCTTATTCATGACCTCACTACTCTCAACCTCCTGTACACTGGAGCTACAATTCAGGTTCCCATCCCCCTGCTGAATTAGTTTAAACCCTCCCGAACAGCATTAGCAAATTCCCCCTCCAGAATATTGGTACCCCTTTGGTTCAGGTGTAGACCATCCTGTTTGTAGAGGTCCCACCTACCCCAGAATGGGCCCCAATTATCCAGGTATCTGAATCCCTCCCTCCTGCACCATCCCTGTAGCCACGTGTTCAACTGCTCTCTCTCCCTATACCTCGCCTCGCTAGCACGTGGCACGGGTAACAAATCAGAGATAACAACTCTGTTTGTTCTAGCTCTAAGCTTCCACCCTAGCTCTTTGAATTTCTGCCTTACATCCCCATCCCTTTTCCTACCTGTGTCGTTGGTGCCCATGTGGGCCACGACTTGGGGCTGCTCCCCCTCCCCCTTAAGGATCCCGAAAACACGATCCGAGACATCATGGACCCTGACACCTGGGAGGCAACACACCAACCGCGAGTCTCTCTCGTTCCCACAGAATCTCCTATCTGTCTCCCTAACTATGGAGTACCCAATGGCTAATGCTCTCCTCCTCTCCCCCCTTCCCTTCTGAGCAACAGGGACAGACTCTGTGCCAGAGACCTGTACCCCAGGGCTTACCCCTGGTAAGTCGTCCCCTGCAACAGTATCCAAAACGGTATACTTGTTATTGAGGGGAACGGCCACAGGGGATCCCTGCACTGTCTGCCTGTTCCTTTTCTGTCCCCTGACTGTAACCCATCTACCTTTTTCCTGTACCTGAGGTGTGACTACCTCCCTGTAACTCCTCTCAATTACCCCCTCAGCCTCCCGAATGATCCGAAGTTCATCCAGCTCCAGCTCCAATTCCCTAACGCGGTTTCCGAGGAGCTGGAGTTGGGTGCACTTCCCGCAGATGAAGTCAGTGGGGACACTAGTGGTGACCCTTACCTCCCACATTCTACAGGAGGAGCATGCAACTGCCCTAACATCCATTCCCACTGTTCTGAATTCTGAAAAAAAAAAACTAGTAACCTTACCAAATCGGCGCTCAGAACTTTTTTTTTGGTTAGAGGAGGAGGATGGGTGGGAGACACTACCTAAGTAGTGTTTCGGGTAAAGCAACCACCCAAATATATTACCTCACTTACTCAGCCGTCCCGTGTCCGCTCCTGCTCAGCGTGCGCTCCGCCTATTCACGAGGTAAGTTTTTAAAGGATTAACGTACCTTCCCGGCAGCCCCCTTGTCCTCGCTCTCACTGCTCCCACTGCTGCTGCAAAAATGGAGGCCGCTGATCCCACGAGGTAAGTTTTTAAAGGATTAACTTACCTTCCCGGCAGGCCCCTTGTCCTCGCTCTCACTGCTGCTGCAAAAATGGTCAATCAATTCTATCTGACATACTGGCTGTTTCTAGTTTTCAGAACCTACAGCCAAGCCCTATTAATCATGGCTGAACTTGTTGCATACTCACCTCTGAGTCATAAGTTTCTGAGTTCACCCAGAGCTTGAGCACCTAAGTACAACACAACCTGCGCCATACTGATGGTGAGCTGCACTGTCAAAGGTGCTATCTTTTGGATGAGGTTCAGAAAACGTTCTGTCTGCTCCTTCAGGTGGATAGAAGATCCCACAGCATTATTCTGGAGAACAGGAAAACTCTTCCTGGGGTTCTGGCCAATTTTTATCCCTCTGCCTACATCACAAGGGCAGATCATTTTATCCTTATCATATTGGTCTTTGTATGATCTTGCTGTGTGCAAAATGGCTTCCACATTGCAACAGTGATTTCAAAAGAACATCATTAGCTGTAAAGCACTTTGAAATGTCTCCTGGTCATAAGAACCATTATATAAATGTAAGTCTTTCTTCTGTTTAATGTTTTTGACTTTTAAGATTTGTGCCTAAATCACAAGATCAGGGAGTCTGATCGTTATTTGAACAGTCGGCTTGAAAGAGTCACAAATACCCACGTAAAGTTGCAGTTGACATTGGGTCAATTCCAAAAGGTATTATACGATCTGGAGCAAAGGTAAGTGCATGGAATTAGATCACAGATCAGGCACCCTCTTGCAACAATAGGATTGATTTAGGGGGCTAAATGGCCTCCTTTATTTTCTTTGTAAGAGCAAAATCAGTAGATTCCCACTCACCGTATCGTAGTCTTTGAGCGCAGCCTTAAACTTGCCCAGTGCCATGTTGGCTGTCGCCCTCCTGTAGTATCCTTTAATGTATTTCTTATCCAGCTCCACTGCCTTGGTGGCATCTGACAAGGCGTATCCATAACATTCAGTCCGTAAGTATGCCAAGCTGCGGTTTCCATAATAAATAGCATTCTCTGAGTTCAGCTCGATGGCCAGTGTATAATACTTAATGGCATTATCATAATCCTTATCTGCAAGGGGAACAGGCTGATATTAAAAAACTGATAATGGGCAATCCAGCTAACTAGAATTTGTGCAGTTAACCAGAAATTATACAACTGGTGACCAACAGGATACACAGCAATCACATATTAGAAACCATCAATTTATTCAAGTTAGTTCGTTTCAAAGTCGGCACGTGTTACAGATTGTGTATGAAGTTGAAGACAGAAGCCAGGATGAACAGTTTGATCTTCCAAATTGTAGCTCACTACACGTGGCCTTAACTTCAACTTGGTCTCATTGTTTCCTGAAGGTGCAAAATGACACTAAGCTACATCCCACCAAGTACCTTCCTAAGTGCCCACCTTTCCTCTGTGACTTGGGAGTAATGCCATGGATAGCATCGCCGATCAGCTTGTGGTCTTGCCAAGCTTGGTTCACTGGCAGCCAATCAGGAATAAAATAGCTATGACCCAGCAGCTATGCTGACAGCCAAGAGTGGGATTACCTCATTGCTGGGACACAGAACCTACCATTTTTAATTAACGTTTTCACATCAAGTGGAATTTAAATTGTTAGAAGAGCATACCCAGAGGAAACTAAGTCATGTTACTCATTAAAATGCGTAGCGTCTGTTCAGAATCAGTCCATTCTAATGTGGATAGCCACTCCAGATCAGTTCAATGGCAATGTCTTTGCCTCAAATTCAGAAGGTTGTAGGTGGAATTTTCTCTCCTGGATTTGAGCATATATAGGAACAAGAGACAGTAACATGCCTATAGCCTGTTAATTCATTCCAAAGTCAGTCATTGAACCAGGAGGCCAGATGCCAATCTTTTACTCAACATTAGATTTATTTACAGAATACAACATCACAAGTGTCTACCTTTTCCTGAACTAACACCTGGTGTCCCAGAAGTCTCGCTTTATACTCTTGATAAATCTTGCTTTACATGATTGCTCTGGGAACAGGTTCAATGGTCAGAAGGGAGATCACACCACAATCTTGGCGTTCCTAGCATCAAGCTCCAACAACTTAGCTGACTGGCTGCTGGTAAGCAGTTGAAAGAAACAGACAGTTAGACCTACCATCCCTGGGTACTCCTGAACTACCAACCTTTCAGTTCATAGCCAAACACACTAACCAATTGCTCCACAGATACTTAGAACACTCTCTCTCTTTACCCTCTTTTGAAAATGAGTTTAAACTAAACCCAACTAATCAAATTAACAAATGGCAGCTTCTGTAAGGGGTACTGTGACAAAAATCTAAAGCAAATTTAAAATTAAATCAATTAGACTAAAATACATTCCAGCCCCTGCAGTGTCCACACGTCAGAGGAGACCTTAAGTGTATTAATGGATACTGTGTGCTCTCCCTCCAAGGGCAACTAGGTACAGATGAACCCACCAAAGAGAGTCAAGCAGTTGGTTCTAATTAATGCCTCCATGGCCTGCTGCCTGGACCTGCTAATGGCCACCTTGGCAAGGCCCAGAAGTAGACCCATGAAGAAGTCCTCTGATCCGCCTACAGCAGCTCTCTCACCCCTTCCTTCCCTCCCTCCATCTCTCACACGCACTCACACGTGTACACACACACCCACACCAACACCAAGTGGCCAAAGATTAATAGCTTGTGGTTGAAGTGCAATCAAAATTAAGGAGTCTCCACAACACAACAAGGGTACATACAGAACACATACTGCTCAAGGCCTGAAACATTTTTTTTATACGTTCAAAGTACTTAATCAATGTCCTGCACTTCAATGATACATTAACATAGCAATAACAGAATCTGTTCCACCATTCCATCAAATTATGACTGATTCCTATATCACAACTCTCAATTACCTCCCTATATGAGCCATCACTTGAGGATAGTGCTGTATTATCAAAGGTATTAGCTTTTGAATGAAACATTAAAACAGGGACTCATCCATCTGTTCAGATGGATGTGAAATAGCCCTCAGTAAATGTCATGAACAAGAGGTGAGCCAATCATTCATCTTGTTAGTCTGTGTATTTGCTGCTCCAATTCTAACACAGCAACACTGACCACATTCTAAATGTAATTCAATAGACTTTGGGATGTCCTAAGATCACAAAAGTGGGCAGACAAGTAACATATAATAATAATGCACTCATCCAAAAATGATATTCAATTTTCTGAAGGCCCCTTGTCCACCATCACTTCTTTGGCCAATAATACAGCACGGAACTTCAAAAGACCATTGACGACATGGCAAAAGAGGGCCCTGAGAATGTTACCATGGATGAGGGAATGACAATTATTTGGAGATTGCTGAAGCTGGGCTTGTTCCTCCCAGGACTGAGGAGAACTGATCGATGTATTCAAAATCGTAAATGGTTTTGCTAAGGGTAAATAAGAGAACCTGTTCCTAGTGGCAGAAGGTTAGGGAAATAAAAAACAAGATTATTTAAATCAGAAGAGACTGAATAATGCAGTGATATTGAGGCAATCTGGGTATCTTTGTACATGAATCACAAAAAGCTATGAGTAACCAGGTAGGCACTGTTCAAATAAAAGCAGAACATGTTAGAGAAACTCAGCAGGTCTGGCCTAGTTTCTCCCCAGTTTGTTTCTTTTTTCAGATCTCCAGCGTTGATAGTACTTTGCTTTTATTTTGGTTTTCTCAGTAACTCCTGATAAGACAATCACGTCAACCTCAGTGAATAATCAAGAGAACTTCCACTGCACTCCCTCTATGGTAAATAGACCCTTCCTTAGATAAGGGGGCAAAATCTACACACTTTAGGCGAGGTTTCATCAAAGCTCTATAAAACTGCAGCAAGAGATCTATCTTCCTGTACTCAAAGAGAATATTTGCTAACACTCCACCTATGCATGTACAAAACATGCACAATGTAGTACCGCTGCATGTAATGTAATTCCAACTGAACCACTCAATTAGATAGAGCCATTGTAAAACGCTTTGCTGGTTTAAAAAAAACAAAGTGTGCACGTGAAGAACTTTCAACATGCACAATGTGAACCTTCTGGGGTATTGGGAGACAAAGCCATACACAAATTTGAGAGAAATTCCAATACAGCTTGCCTATTTAATTACTTACTGTACCTGCATGCCAGCTTGTAGTGATCCATGGACAAGGACACCCTGATTGTTTTGGATACCAGCATATCCTAGTCTCTCACCATTTAAGTAGTACTCTGCCTTCCTGTTTTTTGTTTACCAAAATTAAAACTTCACGCTTTACATTATATTCCAGCTGCCATGTTCTAGCCCATTCACTTAGTCCATCTGAGGTCTTATTTTGAAGCCGCATTGTACCTTCCTCACAACCTGCATTCCCACCCAGTTTGGAGTTGTCAGCAGATTCGGCAACAGTATACTCAGTCCCCAAATTTAAATCATCCATAAATATTTGTGATCAGTTGTGGACCTAGCACTGACTTTTGTAGTACACCAGTAGTAAAAGCCTGCTATTCCAAGAATGATCCGTTTATTCCAACTCTCTGCATTTATTCCTACATTCTGCTTTATGTCTCCTTACAATTCTCAATCAACACTAATATATTCCTCCAATGTCATATTCTAATTTAATTTAATAACCTTCTGCAGGGAACTCTGATCAAAAGCCTTCTGAAAATCTAAATACACCAACTTCACTATTTTTCTTTTGGGCTACAATGAACATCCTCAAAAAACTCCAACTTTGTCAAATACAATTTCTTTCTCATAAATCCATGTCAACGCCACCCAACTTTGCCAATTCTTTTCTAAATGTTTAGTTATCACATCTCATAACAGATTCTATCATTTTCCCTATGACAGACGCCAAGCTAACAGGACTGTAGAACTATTGGTTACTGGGAAGATGATTTGAGTGCCACATAGCGACATTATAAACAAAGTTGAATGTCAATCGCTAAACCATGAGGGGTACCGGACAGACTATCACTATCGCACAGATGGGCAAGTCTTGCCACTGCCATGTCTAAGATGGTGAGAATCTCAGATACATCAACCGATCTAAAAAAAGTTCCCTACACTTTGTTTTCCTACAGTAACTGGCGAGGAGCCTGAGATTTCCAAGTAGGAATGATTCCCATCTTCATTTACCTGTTGCAAGTTGCTTCAGAAATAGCCTTAATAGGATTGACATGTGGATAGAGATGCTAAATTGAGGCTGTCTCTACCTCTTAGGTGCATGTTGAAAAGTCATACATTTGTTTTCTACATTGCAACACTGAGTTAAAAGCAAAATAATGCAGATACAGTTGTAGAGTCATATAGCACAGAAACAGACCTTCAGTCCAACTCACCCAGGCTGACCAGATATCCTAAATTAGTCTAGTCCCATTTGCCCCATTTCCCTCTAAACCCTTCCTATCTATGTACCCATTCTAAAGCCTTTTACATGTCATAATTGTACCATACTGGAGATCAGAAATTAAAACAGAGTTCTTGAAAAACTCAGCTGGTCTGGCAGCATCTGTGGAGACAGGAAGAGAGTTATGTTTTTGAGAGAATTTTTATTCATTTGGAAAAGTTCCAGATCTGAAGAAACAAACTGTTACGGACTTGAAACATTAACGCTGTTTGTCACTCCACAGATAGTGCAAGACCTGCTGAGTTTCTCCAGCAATTTATGTTTTTACTTAGAGTCATAGAGCTGTTCAACATGGAATCAGACCCTTCAGCCAACTCGTTCATGCAACCTGATATCCTCAATTAATCTAGTCCCACTGCCAGCATTCAGGCCATAGCCCTCTACAACGTCCCTTTTCATGTACCCATCCAGATGCCTTTTAAATGTTGTAATTGTATCAGTCTCCACCACTTCCTCTGGCAGCTCATTCCATACATGCACCACCCTCTGTGAAAATGTTGCTCATTGGGTCCCTTTTAAATTTTTCCCCTCTCACCTTAAACCTAAGCCCTCTAGTTTTGACCTCCGCTACCCTGGGAAAGACCTTGGCTATTCATCCTATCCATGCCTCTCGTGATTTTATAAACTTCTATAGGTTACCCCTCAGTCTCCGATGCTCCAGGGAAAATAGCCCTGGCCTATTCAGCCTCTCCCTACTGCTCAAACCCTCCCAACCTGGCAACATCTTTGTAAATCTTTTCTGCACTCTTTCAAGTTCCACAACATCCTTTCCATTGCAGGGAGATCAGAACTGAACGCAGTATTCCAAAAGTACCCTAATCAATGTCCTGTACAGCCGCAACATAATTTCCCAACTCCTATACTCAATACACTGACCAACAAAGGCAAGCATACCATTCACCACCTTCTCTATTCTGTCTACGTGAGACTCCACTTCCAAGGAACTATGAACTGCACTCCAAGGTCTCCTTGTTCAGCAACACTCCCCAGGACCATACCACTAAGGGTATAAATCTCACCCCGATTTGCCTTTCCAAAATGCAGCACCTCACTTTTATCTAAATTAAACTCCATCTACCACTCCTTGGCCCATCTGATCAAGGTCTCATTGTACTCTATGGCAACCTTCTTCCTGGACTTATGAACCTGATTCTGTATTCTCTAGAGTTTCAAAGAATGAGAGGTGTTCTCATTAATATTTTTGAGGTTTTAACAGGGTATGGCAGGGTGGATAATAGATAGGATGTTTTTACACACTCTAGAACCTGGGGGCATAATCTCAAGATAAGGGATAGGCCATTTAAAGGTTGAGCTTAAGAGAAATTTCTTCACTCAGTGAATTTTCAAAAATTCTGTCCTGCAGAGGTTTTTGGAAGATCAGTCATTGAGCAAGTTCAAAACAGAAACAGACTGGTTACTGAAGACAAATGACATTGGGAAATAATGTGAGAAAAAGGCATTGCAGAAATAATTAGCCAAGATCTAGCATGGCACGGTAGGCCCAATGGACTGAATGGCCTATGCCTATTCCTATGGTTACATATGGACCTATAACTACATTGGAGTTACTTACTGGAACTAATAGCAAACTATTTAGTACCTAATCCTTCCTCATTTCAGCTAATAGCCCACTATTTGACAACAACAGCCCACTATTTGGCAGCAATGCTTTCACCATATGAGGTACAGCCCAGTATTTGGCAGCAATGCTTTCACCGTATGAGGTACAGCCCACTATTTGGCAGCAATGCTTTCACCGTATGAGGTATAGCCCACTATTTGGCAGCAATGCTTTCACCGTATGAGGTACAGCCCACTATTTGGCAGCAATGCTTTCACCGTATGAGGTACATCCCACTATTTGGCAGCAATGCTTTCACCGTATGAGGTACATCTCACTATTTGGCAGCAATGCTTTCACCGTATGAGGTACATCCCACTATTTGGCAGCAATGCTTTCACCGTATGAGGTACATCCCACTATTTGGCAGCAATGCTTTCACCGTATGAGGTACATCCCACTATTCGGCAGCAATGCTTTCACAGTTTAACCAATAGCCCACTATTTTGCAGCAAACCTTTCACACTGTAAGCAATAATCCACTATCCTGTAGCAAAGCTTCCACGGTGTGAGGAATAGCCCATTGTTTGGCAGGACAGATATCAGGCCGTTCCCTCCTCTCAAGCTGCTCAGAGCCACGAGGGGCCCGATGCCGGTCGGAGAGGGGAACCGGGTACCGGTAAAGCCCGGCGGCTGGGAGACGTGGTACCGGCTTCTCGGAGATTCGCGGGCAGCCGCCCCTCACCTTTAAAATACTGATTGGCCTTGGCCTTCATGCCCTCGGCCTGATCGTGCTGCTCGCCGCTCGCCCCGTCCGCTCCCTCCGCCATTTTCCCACTCGGGCGGAAAGTCCCTACCCACAACGCCAGGGGCCCTTAGCAACCGGTCGTAAAACAAACAGCGACAGCCGGTATGGGCCGCAAAATTACCGTAAAGTGGTGCCCGTGCGACGGCGCTAACATCACAGCCTTCCCCAACGAGACCCAGAGGGTACAGTGTGAGCAGGTACAGCACTGTGTGTAAAATTAACTCTCATAAACCCCACAGTGTGAGCAGGTACAGCACTGTGTGTAAAATTAACTCTCATAAA